ATTAACTTAAAATCAATTCATGTCTTACAAAGATTAGTTTTTACAAATAAGTGTCATTTAATTCATATAAAATTTCATGTAATATTTAAAAGACTTAATGAAGTATGCCAAAAAGTACTTCTAGAAATCCAGACAACAGGGATACAAAAGGAGAATATAGCTTTACTTTTCAGGCTTCAGGTCTCTATATACAATTCCTAATTGGTGCAGATGATCCAAAGCGAGGGCCAGTTCTGCAAGGTAGAATTTCACATCTTCCTCTGTAAACAGAACCTAGAATAAAATAATGATTTTCCATTTGATCTCTCTTCCAATATTGAGTATTTTTAAAATCTACCTCTTTAAAAACCAGCAGACAGACAAATCTAGGCAAATAATAAGACAATAAGCATAGCAAATTCTTATTTGACTGGCATGATTATTGGGAAGTAACATTTCTATATAGAGTAAACTAATCTCTTTAAGAATACTTTTCTTCAATGTTAACCATTTTCATGTAAATCTTTATAAAATATATTGTGTTGTTTGTATACCTTCTTACACTAAATGTACTGCACAAGATTCACCTTTATTTAATGACTTGGTGTCATAATACCAATATAAATTTTAGTACTCAGCTACAATATAGTGATGTCCTTAGGAAATTTGAAATATAAAGAATATTTCATTTTAGCACTGGTAATCCCACTATTTCTACTATTTTCTCTTTTGCTATCTACTATAACTTCTCAGGAATTTCACTTTTAGCAGCTCTATCAACCTAAAGCTTCTAACACAGCACTCCAAATTGTTAAATTAGTAACCCTTATATTACACACAATTTAAACCTCATCTGTGATCTAAAGGGTAGCCCCAAGCCTCTTCTGTTAGTAATGAATACGAGTTTAATAGCACTATATTCTTCAATCCTTTTGTGCCTGAAAATAGATCTGTTATGATGAAGTGAAAAGAGTGTTGGACTTGACATCAGAATTGGTAGTGTAACATCAGAAACGTCACTTAGGGTTTTGGGCCTCAGTTTCTAAATCTGTAAAATAGGATAATAATATCTACTATATTCTACATAACAAGGCTGTTGTAAGAATCAAATTAATTAATGTGGAAAAAAAGTGTTTTAAACTATAAAATGTTATTTGCACAACTATAAGGTATTAGTATTATAGGTTTATGTCTATATTCGTAAGTGAGTGTTAATTTATACACAGAATTGGGCACTACTCAACCATTAGGTATAATTTTTAAGGTTTACCAAGGGCTTCAGATGGGCAAAACCAAATATTTTTCTATAAATGTTTATTTTTTTCATCAAAAAAACCTCTGGATTACTAAGAAGACTCAAATTTGAATAAAATACGTGTCACGAAATCTTATAGCTGGCTTGCCCATTTAAAATTATGGCTACTACATTTCACAATGCAGATTCAGGCTACCAGTAAAATTGGAGAGAATGAATAGTTAAAGATAACTTTGGATACCCCATCCTTTTAAAAATTATCAGTAGAAAAACAGAGATTGTTCATTAAGTTTTGGGAGCATTAATTTGAACATCATAATGGTAAAAGTATAAGAACATCATTTCCACTTAACTTTTCCTTAAGAATAATACTTCTAACTTATTCAACTTCTAGGTAAGGACAACCAAACTGTTCATTGAAGCCTAAAATATAAGAAAATACAAAATAAAATATTTTAAAATCCTTAAAAAATTAAGAAAGGAACTTTTGCCTAGGTTACAGTTTACGGCAAACCTATCACTTTGTCCTGAAGTTGTCTTTGAATAGATGGAAATAATAAACTTACTAAGTAGTAATATGTGACAGGCACTGAATATTCATACAATCTTCCAAACAACTCTATGAGGTAGACATTATCAACAATTTGCATATAGAGAAAGGGACTTGTAGTAATTAAGTAACTTGCCAAAGTAACATAACTAGTAAGAAGGAGGCCCAGAATTTTAACTCAGGGATGCTTGTCCCTACAAATGCCCTATTCCCCAGAATTCACTTCTGTGGCTTGCTATAAATTTTTTGTTAAGTTTTAGGTTCACTACCAATAATGCTTTCCTATTTACAAATCATCCTACTCATAAACCTCCCCCACAAATAAAAATTATCCAAAACTCCAGTACCCTTAGGTAAGCACTCTTAATATTTTATTGTCTGCTCTTAAACCATCTGTGCATGTATATGTGTGTGAATGTGCATTTGAGTGTATGTGTGTATATGTTTTAGCATAGTTGAAATCATACCACTGTATATAATATTATTTAGTGGCCTCATTTATCCCCACTTAATATTATATCATAAGCATTCTCTGACATCTTTAAAATTTATTTATAAACAGTTTTTCAACAGCTGCACAATATCAACCAATTTATCATGATTTACCTAAACATTCTCCTTCTGGATGTTTATATTACTTTCAGTTTTTCACTATTTTAAATAACTCTGCAATATGCATATTTATTTAATCTATCTTTATTGATATTTATGATTATTTCCCCAAATAGATTCCTAAGAAATAAAACAGGAAATACTGGGTCAAGGGCAATAAATAATCCAAGACTCCTGACATGAACAACAAAATTATTTTCCAAAAAGGTTACAGTAATTTCCACTCCCATCAGCAGTTTGTGAAAGTATTTATCTTACCACATCCATAATAGCACTGAATGCATCCTTTAAAAAAATCTTTTCACACTCGATATACAAAAATGGCATCAATTTTGTTTTAATTTGAAGTTTGATTCTTAGGTTGAACATATTTTTTCATGTTTTGTGCCCTTTCTATTTTTTTCATTAATTATTAATAACGTTTTATCTATTTTCCATTATTGACTTACTGTTTGTGAATTGGTATAAGTCCTTTAAATATTAAAAATGTCAGAGGGGAATTAGAATGCTCCTAACACACACAAAAAAATTTAAATGTACCCCCTAAATATGTACAAGTATCATGTATCTGTAATTAAAAATAGAAAATTAAAAAATATTAAAAATGTCAGTTCTCCATCATAATTATTTGCAAATATTTTTCCAGCATTGTGCTGGTTTTTGATGTTCATTAATTCTTAAATTTCTGTAGTCAAATTTATATATCATTTCTGTATGATTTTTCTTCATTACTGTAATGCTTAAGGAGACCTTCTCCATTCAATGGTCAACTAAATATTCAACTGCATTTTCTTTTAGGATAAATGTTTTTCCATATCTAGCTTTTTAATATAAGTAACATTTATTTTTGTACATGGTAGATATTGTATTTTTAAATGATTTCTTTGAAATATCTAAATAATTTCTCAAGTACTATTTACGAACAATCAATCTCTTTGCCACTAATTTGTGATTCTTCCTTTATCATAATAATGTATGGTAAGTCTTCTATAACAGGATATTCTTGGGCTTTTCAGTATGTTTCTAGTCTTGTGTTGATACTCTAATATTTTGCTCATAAAAGCTTTATAATGCTTTAAACAAGAGGTAGAGCAAGAAAAGGGTATTCTTTATTTTCAAAATGCATTAGCTCTTTTCATTTGTTTACATCTCCATATAAACTGTAAAATAATTCTGTCAACTTCAAACAAACAAAAATTTCTATTGTGGCTTTGTTTGGAATTTCGTTAAGCCAATAAATTAATTTTGGAAGAATTGACACCTTTACAATAATCAGCCATTCACCCCACTGTATTTTCTTGAAATTAGCATAGTAGGGCATGGCTTAAGAGACACACTTGAAGCTCGGACTTGGGGGGGAGGGAGGGTAAGGGCATCATACATAACCTAATCATCTGTACCCCCATAACATGCTGAAATAAAAAAAAAATGAAAATTAAAAAAATAAAAAAATAAATGTGTATTTGTGTGTTTAAGTATGTGAGCATTGGGGGAGAAAAATTTGGGTACATTTCTCTTTAAAATACAAATAGCAAACATTAGAAAATTCTTAAACATATACAAAAATGTACTTTAAGAAATCTTTTTCTAAGGCATAAAAAATAAGTCCTCATTTTGGATTATTTAACAGTTTTTTGCACATGCAAGTGAAGCAAAACCAATAAACTACTTATTAATAAACTGTCTATGGAAGTAACCATTGAATCATTTTTAAAAGTCTGTTCAATGAATGCACTAATTTATTATCTTTTGGGAAATGCATTTAAAATGCTTGCTCTTACCTAATATTCCAGACTTAGGAATCAAAACTTACTGACTGCATCTCTGTGCTAGTATGGGTTTAGATAGTCCCACATCGAGAATGGAGGTCTGAAGAGTTTAAAAGAAAATTAGAAATGACTACAAGAAATTCTCAAACACATGTGACAATTCTACAATCTAACATAAGAAATCATGAATATCGGAGCCTTATTAAACTGTTGGCCTTCTATGCCTTGGGACAAACTTTTAACAAGCCCCTTTAAGGATCCTTCTTGAAAGGGGATCCTAAACAGACCCTACCACATACTGAATTCTGTTCTATAGTGAATAATATATCAAGAACACATTCTGCTCATGCATGGCACATTCTGCACCGGAGGTAGGCAGATATAAGCCGAGGAGCTTAGCCACTTAAGCACTGGCTAGCATCCTGGCAACACACTGTACCCTTTTCAGAGCAAGTTCCAGAGCTCTGGGAATCAACAGTAGCTCTGCCACACTCAACATTGTAAATTGTGGAAGTAAGATGTTGAACCACTAGCACCCAATTAAAATACTACTCTCAGACTACCACATCAAGACAAAATGAAATAGACAACGACAGGGTTTGATCTCCTGTCTGAAACATCTAAAACATAGGACAAAATATATGAAATGTTCCTTTTCAAGACACTGGACATCAGGCAACAAAGGACAACGAATATTGAGAGATGGGAAACAAATAAGGCATGCCCTACAACTGCCCTAGCTTACTACATTGGGAAGATAGTACAGGGAGGACTAAGTCAGGTGGAACCGGAAAGACTTCCTGAGTTGATGAGTCGAAATTATGTGTCTAGGAGAAGGAGGAAGATAGAATTCACAGGATCAAGTACTGGAGAAGAGAGGATTACACAGAGAGAACTCTAGAGATAAGTAGTTAAGTCTCCTTCAGGTATTCAGCAGAGAAATGTTCAGCACATATGAGTGAGGCCACTACCCTGAACCAGGAAAACAATCAAGGATTCGAGGGACCAATACATGGAATTCACACTGGGCTAGGAATATTTCCTATTACCTCCAGCCAGAGCAGAAAACCTCATAATTCACAGGGTATCCAATAAGGTAATCAGAAGG